TGTTCAGGAGCCTACTGTTCAGGTGGAGCATGTTATTGATTCAGGTGATACATCTGGTAATGAAATTGTTGATGCACATGATGAACCCGTCGTTGATGATGAACATGTCACTCCCACTCCAAATCAGCCTATTGTTCCACCCAGTTGGAATCTTGCACGTGAAAGAGTTAGACGGGGTATTAATAAACCTGACAGGTTAATTGAAGAGTGCAATATTGTTTCTTTTGCTTTATCTGTTGCAGAAAAAATTGAAGGTAATTCTGAGCCTTCTTCATATTCCGAGGCTATTATTTCTGGTGATAGTAATAAGTGGATGACCGCTATGCATGATGAGATGGAATCACTTGAAAAGAATGGCACTTGGGATTTAGTAAAATTGCCTAGAGAGAAGAAACCTATTCGTTGCAAGTGGGTTTTCAAAAGGAAAGAAGGTGTTTCTCCTAATGATGAGACAAGATATAAAGCAAGGTTAGTTGCTAAAGGTTATAGCCAGATTCAAGGTATTGACTATAACGAAGTCTTTTCTCCTGTTGTGAAGCATAGCTCTATTCGCACTTTACTCAGTATTGTTGCCATGCATAATCTTGAGCTTGAACAATTGGATGTTAAAACTGCATTTTTACATGGAGAATTAGAAGAGGATATTTATATGAAACAACCTGAAGGTTTTATTATTCCTGGAAAAGAAAGGCTTGTCTGCAAGTTAAAGAAATCTCTTTATGGATTGAAGCAATCCCCTAGACAGTGGTACAAGAGATTTGACACCTTTATGCTCTCTCAAGATTTCAAAAGGTCTAATTATGATAGTTGTGTTTATTTGAAAACTGTCAATGGTTCAACTATTTATTTGCTCCTTTATGTTGATGATATGCTTATTGCTGCAAAGAGTATGTCAGAGATTAATGAACTAAAGAAGCAATTGAGTAATGAATTTGAGATGAAGGATTTGGGTGCAGCAAAGAAAATACTTGGCATGGAAATATCTAGAGATAGACCATCTGGAAAAGTATATCTAAGTCAGAAGGGATATATTGATAAAGTTCTTCGTCGTTTTAATATGCATAATGCCAAGCCGGTGAGTACACCGTTAGCTGCATACTTTAAATTGTCATCAGCTTTATGTCCTAAGTCAGATGCAGATATTGAGTACATGTCTAGAGTTCCCTATTCGAGTGCAGTTGGTTCACTTATGTATGCCATGGTTTGTTCTCGTCTGGATTTATCTTATGCATTGAGTGTTGTCAGTAGATACATGGCTAATCCGGGAAAAGAGCATTGGAGAGCAGTTCAGTGGATTTTCAGATACCTGCGTGGTACTTCTAATGCTTATTTACAGTTTGGGAAAACTAGAGATGGACTTGTTGGTTTTGTTGATTCTGATTTTGCTGGTGATTTGGATAAGAGAAGATCACTCACAGGTTATGTTTTCACCATTGGTGGTTGTGCTGTGAGTTGGAGAGCAACTTTGCAGTCTATTGTGACTTGTTCCACTACTGATGCCGAGTATATGGCTATTTCTGAGGCATGCAAAGAAGCTATCTGGTTGAGAGGTTTGTACACTGAGCTTTGTGGAGATTCATCTTGCCCTACCATATTTTCTGACAGTCAAAGTGCCATATATCTTACAAAAAATCCAATGTATCATGAGAGGACAAAGCACATTGATGTTAGATTTCATTATATTCGAGATGTTGTTGCTGAAGGCAATTTGAAGGTATGCAAGATAAGTACTCATGATAATCTTGCTGATATGATGACAAAGCCAGTTCCTACCAATAAGTTTGAGTTTTGCTCAGGCTTAGTTGGTATTTCTCACTAGTCCTATGGACTTTGACGCACAAGGTGTTTATGCTGATTTGAATGGAGTTATTCACTTTCTTCGACTACTAGAGGGAATTTGCCTAAAGGTGGAGATTGTTAAATTGTGATCCAAATTCTAGTACCGGGTTGACTAGACGTAGTACAGCCGGTGTGGGCGTTGCGTTGACATCGACGCGTACGAGTACAACTCGTTTACTTGTCCTCCAAGGACTCACATGTATTGCCCTCTTATATACCCCATGTAGTCGCACCTCAGACGGTCTGTCGTCTCGTGCTTGTAATACTCCTCCATAATAGTGATTGCGCCTTCGTGCGTCCGTGGTTTTCTCCCGCAAGGGTTTCCACGTAAAAATCCGTGTCTCTCTTTGTCTCGTTTATTCTCGTTATTATCTAACATAGGTTAATATTTTGACAAGTGCTCATACGTGGAACTTGTGTTTTAGTGGTTATCTATATGAGTAATTGAGTACCACATTTTGGTGCTTCACGAAGCGGTGTATAACTGTATATTTCCCTATGTTAGGTGTAGCAATAGCATTATGTTGTTTCAGTTTTGTGTCATTATACCGAGTGCACACTTTTTAATATATAATCCACTCGTCGCATTCCACACATGCTGTCATGAATGGAACCAGAGTTCTCTCATCGAAATATTTCCTTCCTAGCTGCTATTAAAGTACCCTGCCGTTAACTGATGGGCACAGTAAAAACTGTATAGTAGAATTGCACAAAGTTGAAAAACCAGATACCTGACTCCATACCAGCGGCTCCTCTGTTTTTCCCAACAGTCTCCATTCTTGATTCATAGTTACTCGTATGCCAGAACTTGTTCCTTAACTAGCAACATGATGCTTGTCATCTCGGGCTCGTGGTTATCAATGAAATAAACTTCTTGTGCATTGTTCTGTGTGCTTCCATACCATACTTGATGCTCCATACTACTGCTCCATACGATTAACTACTGCTTGATTCTATTTGTATGGTTCTTTGTTGCTGAAGGTGCGAGTCATTCTCGACATACCCTCGTACCTACGACCTCCTTCACGTCTGGCTCCTATTCTCTGAGATGGAGAATCAGGGCTGTGGCCTGGAAGATCTGCTGATCGAGATGGACCGCATGATGAGGCCTCATGGGTACGCCATCATCAGGGACAAAGCTTCTACCCGTGCTGAGATGGGACGACTGGTCATCTGAGGTGAAACCGAAGAGAGACGCGCTTTCTTCAGGCGATGAAAGAGTCTTGATCGTGAGGAAAAGGCTATGGGATCAGGCACCACAGGCATCGTCGTAGCAAGCAAGCGCAAAATGGTTCTTGTTCTGGTCTTAAGTAGCCACTGCTAACTGTCGTTTCCCAACTCTTAGCTGTATTATACAGTACGTAGTATTTTACTTTCTCCATCAGCACTTGCACACACTATCCTTTCTCCGCAGTTTTGTGTCTGTGATGGAATGTTCACAGAAGAGATAGGAGTATGACATGCAGAGTCGCAGACTTCAATGGTTCGGAATTCATAGGACAATATGGTTGTCGAAAAATGCTAATCTCACTTTCGTAAATTGATGCCGTTTTAGAATTGACATTTGGAGATTTGCCATTGGCCATTACTTTTCATGTCAGTGTGTTCGTAAAAACAAAAAACTATGCTATTAGTTTTTTTTTGTCATGACAAAGCTTTCATGTCTCTTTTTGTCTGAAATGCAAATATTTTTCTCTTTTTTCTTGGAATTTTGATGAAATTTCCGCTTAAATTGAGTACCTGGTCTCTGACCCACACACGTAACCAATCTGGTCTGGTCTCGTGCAACGGGGCATGCCGTCACTCGGAAGATCCCACAACCGTGACAGTTGATACACTCTCCTTGCACCGACGCCGCCATGGCTGAGCTGCGAAGGAGAAACTAAGAGATGCCGAGGTGAACCAGCAAAGGATATGAAAAGGAGTTTCTCCTCTTTTTTCAAGAAAAGAGCGAGGTCTGAAGTAGATATTTCAAATAATACTCCAAAACAACAAGAATACCTGGGATACCAAAAGTTGTTAAAATTACAATACTTATTTGATTTAAATACCTCACAAGATTTAAAACTGTAATTTTTTAGAAAACTATAGGATAAGGAAACTCATAATAAAATAAATAAATCTAAGCAGAGCCTAACTGTAACATTTTTCAGTGGATTTCCTTTAACAAAAAAATAAATGGACCGATGGTTTAGCGAAATAGGAAAAAACCTTTCTCTTGGTTTCTGAGAAGTGGGCCGGCCCACTCGCTCGGTCGCGGTTCCCTTTCCCCTACCCTCCTCCCTCCGCGGCGATTTCCCTCCCGTGGCGGTTGCCCCGGGAAGGGATCGGGAGGCAGATGAGCAGCTGTTGAAGAAGAAGAAGCCGGAGCCGGAGCAGCCGCAGCCGCAGTCGGCTGCGGAGGAGGCGGTGGGCGTCAATCCTCTCAACCCGAGGTACAGCGAGTACGACCCCAAGCAGAGGGAGCACGTGTAGACCCGCTTCTGCTTCGATCCCAGACTCGACCTCGACAAGGAGTGTAAGCCCCCGCTTCCCCCCACCGATTCTCCTGCCGGATCGCTGCTGCTGATTGCGCGCTGTCAACCGTGCTGGCCGACGAACCCGGTTTTAATTTTGCACATAACACAGTGAACTCTACTACCCTGCATTGCGCTTTGTACCGGTGACTAGCGATGAGTCGGTTCAGGATTCAGAAACTCGCTTGAAGGAGCAATGCATAGGCGAGTTACCCGGTGTTATTAGGAGTAAAGGTATCCATCATACCCTGGTGTTTTGCACAACCAGGGTCAGGTTTAGTGGTGCAAAATGCAGTTTACTGTGAAATCGTGCTGGCCTTTTCAACCGTGATAACGTTTTTACCGGTTCATCCACCATCCAGTTCATTATTGGATTTTGTAACGCTGGTAAATTTTACTGCAACGTAAGGAGCGCCATTTCCTTCAATTCAATTTGCAATTGAAGCATGCACCACAGACCACACTAATACAATGCATGTTACTCCATTCAACTTTTACCTATTCTAGAGTGACAACTAACTGTCTGATGATTGCATACGCACACCCGTTTCTGTTGGCAGTGAATCCGTTCATTTCATACATGTGTTAGTATTCATGTCTTTGAAATGTGTGTTCCTCTCTCTTTTCACAGCCCCTTATGGTCCAATGCGCCATACTCACAAAACCTTCGGAGAGGGATTCCCATTGTATCACTCAGCAAATATTCTCTCAGTCAAGATTGTTGCTTCTGACTATGGCTACCCACTTGATATCTATGGCACGGTAATAGCCAGGGAAGATTTGGATCGCAAATGTGTCTATTTATTCCGGCGCGACAAGGACAATCACCCGTTCGATCATCACCTCAGAGGTACTAATTATATTTTCCTTGCATGATAGCCAATGCACTTCTATACATTTCCCTGTGGTGTGTTCCTTGTATTGCTCTTGATATCTGTCATCTGGTACAGTCATTTGAAATAAGAACAGTGAATTCATAATGGAGGGTTTATATGCATGTTAATCGTCAATGGATTGCTGGCACATGAAACATATTTGGACCGTCAATCGTGTACTATATGGGTGCAGATATGGTATAAAGTAGAGTAAAATCTCTTTTATACTTGGACCGTCATACAATTCTCGTAGTATGTATGGGAACACTATTCAATGATTTTTTTTAAATGTGTTCCACATGAATAATCCTTATTTAGGCTCTGTATATTATATACATAAACGATGGACCTCATAGATGGGTATGTCATGTTTGCTGTGCTGATATTATCAGTTTAATGTATGTTTTTAACGACACCAAATACTGTAAAGGCTTCCTTCTAGCAAATAATTTTAGGTGGCCTATAATTTGCCAATACTCCAGCATTTCAGTTTTGCTGCACCACAACCCAAACGTGAAACGTGCCTGAAAAGTATATATCTATTCTGGTAATCTTGTTTCCTCGTTCAAACTCAAGCAAAGAAATTTAAAAGCTTCGATTTCAAACATAGACATTCCAAAAGATAACACCAGCAATTTATCTATTTGTACTTGTTTTGAAGGACAATTCGTTGATTTTGACTGGTCCAAAGAGAGGACTTGCGCTCTGCGGTTCGCTGTTTTTTGAAATCAATCTGAAGGTTAAGGATGTGCATGGGAGGGAGGTCAAGGATGAAAGACTCAGCAAAGGCATGCTGGATATTAATGGCATCACAAGACAGACATCAAATTTCGAATATGGGGTCGAAACAGACACGCTTGTCAGCATGCACAGCACACTGGAGATGAACTTTGCATTTGTTAGGGACGCGGTGGAGGGCACTGTCGGGATCAGGATCCTTGAGGGGCATGTTGATTTCCATGGTAAGATCATTGCTACCACCACTAGAGTTCTATGTGAAATTGTGTTACATGATAGCAGAGCGAATGGCTTGCTTACTGCCGGCAACAATCAAGTCATGCAAACAGCGTGCCGCGTGGTATGTGTATCTGTAGGTGAGATGCTCCTGGTGACTGTTGCTCCTGAAGGTGGCGATGAGCTCTCTCACCACACTGTTAGGTTTGCTTCAAAGCTCAACGGTTGTGCCGCCGAGAACATGGTGTGTGGTAACTATAAGATGCAAGTGAAGGTCACTTGGTCGATTGTGATGTAATTCCTGGTTTACTAGCTCTGGTATGTATGTCAGGTTTTAGATTCTTGGATAATTTGTAGCATCACTGGGGAAAAAGTACTTCTGAGTAATGAATGTAGTCTCTGAATCTGGAAAGCTGAGGATCATATATGACCATGGTTTAACAAAGGACAATCCATAACTGGTAAGATTTTTGTGCAATACCTTCTATCCTACTTCCCATGATTCATTTCAGATTCGATTGTTTTAGCACTGACTAAGTGACTGTATACTTAAATTCTTAGAATCTTTGCTATTCGGTGACACGCAAGGTATAACTTTTATAACTATATCAGAGGTTTTAGTTGCAGAAATAGGTTAACAATCTGGCAAGTCTTGATGAAAACCATACGAGAACCACATTTTGGTGCTTCTGAAAGGGGTTTAACTGATGAGCGTATGATACATTGTATAGTGTACAATTGCACAAAGATGAAAAAGCCTGTCTCGACATCGGCCGCTCCTGTCTTGCCCAACAGTTACCATTCTTGATTCACATTTATGCAAGAACCTCTTTTTGGACTAGTACGATAATGCGTGCTGTCTCGGGTTCGTGGCAATCGCTGAAACTTCTCAATGGTCTGTCTGCGTACTTCCATACTGGATGCTCTTCCTACTACTGCTACATACAATTGACCATTGTTTGATGCCTTTATTTATTTACTTATATGGTTCTTTGCTATGCTATAGATCCTGAACGAGCGAGTCATTCTGCTGGTCCAGATGGACCGCATCATGAGGCCTCGCGGCACGCCATTATCAGGGACGAAGTTGCTGTCATAGACCACATCAAGAAGCTTGTACCGGCGCTGAGATGGGATGACTGATCATCCAGCTCCGAGGTGAAACCTAAGAAAGGCACGCTCTGGTCAGGCGATGAAAGAAAGAGTCTTGAACTCTTGATCGTGAGGAAAAAGCTATGGGATGCAAAATGGTTCATGTTCTGATCTTATTAAGCTGCTGATTTCAAAAATCATACTCCCTCCGTCCCATAATGCAAGACATGTCACACGTCTTACATTATGGGACCGAGGGAGTAGGTGTACTTCTTAATTTCCAAAATCTTAACACTTTGGCTATCCTTTCTCCACAGTTTTGTGCCTGTAATGGAATGTTTTTGTGTCTGTGATGGAATGTTCACAGAGGAGATAAAGATAGGGGGTGTATGACATGCAAAATTGCAGACTTTGAAGGTGCAGAATTCATAGGACAGTAACAGTATATGGTTCTCGGAATGCTCATCTGTAGCATTTCACAGGACAGTAACACTACAAGCGAAAATCAAAGGATCAACGATGCCAGGCGCCGGGTGTTCTCTCTACAAGCGAAATCCACCGGACTCTCGCTCAGCATTAGCAACCCTTGCGCAGCCTCCAGCGTCCTCTCGTCCGGCTCGCTGTCACTGGCAATTGGCAATGGCGGCGGCATCGCCGCTCTGTTCCTGACGGTGGCCAGGATCTCTGCGATGGCGGCGTCGGCGTGGGGTGCGTCTCCCTGGCGGTAATGCATGACGACGAGCCCGAGCGGGCCGCGTGGCTGGCCGGCGACGCCCACCTGCAGCACCGGCGACCGGAACGCCCACAGCTCCACCATGGCCGGCTCCAGGTCCTCGGCCCTGGCGTCGCCCGCCACGTCCAGGCCGTTCTGGGTCAGGAAGCTGCCCCAGCCGGCGATGAGGCGGTAGGCGTCGTTGCAGCCCAGCTTGTTGAGGCCGAGCACGTAGGGCCTGCCGCGCCGGTCGAAGGCCTGCACCTGCACGCTCGGCTTCTCCTCCGCCGTCAGCGCCTCGTCCAGCGGGAACGGCTCGCCGCGCCGCCAGCTCTTGCGCGACATGAGCAGCCGGTGCTGCTGCAGCAGCCGGTCCGTCTTGCACAGCCACTTCCCGTAGACGCGGACCGGCCGCGACGCGCCCAGGTCCCTCAGGACGTCCCGCAGCGCGCCGTCCACCACGCCGATCTCGTCCAGCGACGGGTCGTCCGCCGCCGTGGCGGGCGCGGACTCCATGCCGACGCCGACCCAGAACACGCCGTCGAGCAGCCGACGCCGCTTCTTGCGCCTCTTGCTTGGGGAAGATTGGGCCCGGCGGCGGCAGGCGACGTGAGGCCGGAGCGCCGCGGCGGGGCCGGGCGGCAGGCTCTGGTACGCGGCCAAGATCCTCCCCTCGCCCTCGCGCTCCCCTCCTTCCCCGGCTTTCCGTTGAGCCGCCGCGGCGGCAACGGACGCCGCGGAGCAGCCGCAAGATCCGCCGCCCCCCTTGGCGTCCGCCGACCCATGGCGGCCAATGCCCGTGGCGGCGGGTGGAGGCTTAGGCACCGTCCTCCTCCGGCGAGGCACGCTCCCGACCTCCAGCAGCGTCATGGCGAGAAGGGCGCGGTGCTGGCAGACATTTGTAGGTAGGGGAGGCGGCGGCAGGAGATGAAAATGAATACCTAGCTGCTACAGCTCTGGATTCTGGAACATAATATACGCGTGGATACTAGTACTAGAGTTTGGTACGGGCTCCTCTCCGGTACTACTACTGCTAGCAGGAAACTTACAGTGATAAAAGCTTTCTTTTTTTAGAAGAATTTTATTTAGGACAGTAAAACTAAACCTAAACCCTAGTCATCTCACGCGTCCGCGGCCTTTCACCGTTGAATCCTGCGGCTTGGACATGCCTGACCGTCCGATGCATCATTTCCTCCCGTGTGGCCGTGTGGGCTACCCTTGGGCCGACTGTCCTTGGGCTGCTATTCCAGGGGTCAAATCGGATGCCTCTCGTTCACTGCTACGGGTTAACGTCGTATCCCGAAAGAACGGTGGTGATTATGCTCTGTATCCACTCCCCTCCGTGAACCCTCTCCCCGCTCTCCGAACCCCCACCCCTCCCAGTCCCACCATAGGTTAGAGAGAAAGAGAGAGAGGTGATTGATGGCAGTCCGCTGTCGAAAGGTGTGCCCATGTAGCGCCCGAGGATACAAAGACGTCCAAGAAAAGGGAAACAACCGTCAGTCAATGAGGTTGCAAGGTTGCGGACCAGGCGTGGAGGCGGGCAAGTAATGGCGATAAAGCTCATCCGTCTGCGATGTGTAACCGCAGCGGCGGTCGAGGAGGTATGTCATTGCCCTATTTCCTTCCTTTTTTGCCTCCATATATTTTGCTCCCTTCTATGTACCTTCGGCAGCCATGTTCGTTGCGTTGGGTTTGTATCCTTTCCACCTAAGAGCATCTCCAGCCGTTGGCCCCCTAGGGGGCGCCTAAAATCGCCGCCTGGGGGTGACCCGGCGCAAAAAATGGGCCTGGGGGCGAGTTGGTCTCCAGCCGCCGCCCCTAGGCGCGTTCAAAAAATAAAAATATATAGCAAATTTCGGCGAAGTTCGGCTAAACACGACAAATTTCGGCAAACTTGGGCATATATTAGACATGTTCGCGGATTTTCATTACATACATATAAACTAATCTAAAAAAACTGGCTGAACGCCGAGTAGTCGCCGTCGTCGCCGCCATCGTCGGCCTTCTCCTCTTTGATGCGGGCGCCCCTGCTGGACCCCTCCCCGGCGTCGCCATGGCGGACTGGTGGCGGCGGCGCGTCGTCGTCGTCGTCGCCGATGATGATGACGACCCCTCCTTCGTCACGGCCTCGGCAGCGCTGCGCGAAGCGCCGCAGGGCGGCGCACTGGCGCTCCCTCGCCATCTTCAGGGAGTCCTGGCATGCCCATTCAAGGGCCGCGTCGTCGTCGAGCTCGACTTCGCCGTGCTCCGTTTTCACGGCGAGGAGACCCGACTCCATCTTCACCGGCGCGAGCCCCGGCTCCGACTTTGGCTTGACGAAGCGCGGAGGAGGAGCCGACGAGGAGGCGCGCCGGCCGCCCTCGTTGATGACGATGCTGGCGCTGCGAGTGCGCCGGCCGAGCGGCGTCTCCGCCGCGGGCTCGGCCTTGACGCCGAGCAGCGTCGGAGTGCCGGAGGAGTGGGAGGAGGAGCGCGAGGAGGAAGAAGAGGAGGAGGCGCCGAACCTCCTTGGCGCCCATTGCCCGTCGCGTCGGCGGTGCGCCGGGGCGGCTGCCCTCGCCGGGGGGTACGCCAACGGCGGGTTGTTGCCGCCCTCGAGGTGCGTCAGCACGCCCTCAAGTGTGCGGCCGGGGGCGCCCCACCACAGGTGGCGCCCCTCGCTGTTCTTCAGGCCGCCGACCACCGGCGCGCCGTTGGTGACGCCAGCCGCTGCTGCTGACGGCGCTCGAAGTACGCCACCCAAGCCGCGTGGTTGTCGTCGGCGTACTGGGGGAGGGAGAGCTGGGCGTCGGTGAGGGAGGCGCGCACGACCTCGACCTCGTCGGCGAAGTAGGAGGGTTTGGCCACGGCGTCGGGCAACGGGGGAATGGGCACTCCCCCATTGCTGAGCCTCCAGCCCGTCGGCCCGGCGCACATGTCCGACGGCGCCGGGATGTTCTCCTGGAATAGGAGCCACGACTCCTGTTCGCGGAGCGAGCGGCGGCCGAAGCCGTTGGCCGCCGCCTCATCTCCGGGGAAACGCTCGGCCATCGGGAAAGGGGAGGGAGATGGAGGGGCTGGGCGGCGGCTCACGGGAGAGAGAGGGCTGGGGGAGAGCTCGGCGGCGGCGCTCGGGAGAGGTAGCGCTCATCAGAGGCGAGCGAGGCCGTATATAGCCGCGCCGCGCCCGTGTGTACGCGTCCGAGGGAGGGGAGGCGTCGGCGCGCCGTTCCGTGACGCGCCGCCCGTGAGGAATCAATGGCAAAGCTGACTGGCGGCAGCCTTGCCATTGATTCCCCGCGGGAAACCGAGGCGTTGGGAGAAGACGAGGCGGTGTCGCTGACGCGGCTAGCCCGCGGCTCTTTCGCGCCAAAAACGATTCACCCGGCGCCCCCGAGCGCCCCCCAGCGCGCCGGGTTCGGGTTGGGTCCGCCGGCGCCAATTTCGGCCCGAGCCGGCGAAAAATGGGCCCTTGGGGGCGTGACTGGGCCGATTTTTTGGCGCCGGCGGCC